AACATTTAGCAGAATTAGCAATAGAAGCTCCCTGAGGTTATATACTGTGCAGACCTTGAAGACAAAAGTTTTAAACTTAACTAATTTATTAACAATATATATAAAAATAAAAACACAATGAATAAATTTAATCAATATCAGAAACTTAAAGAATGTAACATAATCATTATCAAAAATTATACTTAGTTGATCATTTATTAACCCCAAGGGTTTTTCCTTTAAAAAATATTACACTATTAATGATACAGTAAATATTTTACCTGATCTTTAAATACTGGAATTCAATGTGCGAAAAACATACCACAGAACGAAAACTACGCGGTTAATATGAATTTCACTTCACTAAGTCCATGCTTTTTGCCCAAGAATGCACCTGAAAAATTAAACTAAACTTTGAGTGCACTTGCACTGGCTAAAGCCGCTCACTGTAGCAGTGGCGGCTCGTGGCTAAAATTAGTGGGGGTGCTGTTCCAAAAAAATTTAACCTTTGTTTTAAAATTGTCTAAAAGGAAACAAACGTACATAAAAAGAAAATTTATTTTGAAACTTCATTAAATCTTACAAGAAAAAAATTAAACATTTCTTAATTACTTTAACCAAAATTGTTACAGTTCAATCTTTGGCTATTCATTTAAAAATGAAATCCTTTCTTTTTGTTTTAATTTGCACGAAAAGATCAATAATTTTCTCCTTGATCTCTGGATGACAACTGAGGAAATTTTTCTTTATTGAAAGCAATGCAAGCGCATTTAGTCTTTCCGAATTCCTAGAGCTTCTTCGAAAAGTTTTTATTCTTTTAAATGTTGAAAAGCAGCGTTCTGCCTCTGATGTAGTCATGGGAACTCTCAAGAGAATTTTTATCTGTTTCGTAATTTCACTAAGAACATCCATCATCTAGATTATTTTCGAAGATAAATTTCAGTATCTCAATTAATTTGCAGCATTCATGGATATCAGACATACAATAGAATACTTTTAGTTCAGTTTCAAGCTTTTCTTTGCAATCATTAAATATGCTTCAGTGGTCAGTACTATTTCTTCTGTAGAATGTTCATTCCTAAAACTAGCGAAGCATTTCTTGTTTAACAATTTAGCAGCTGCTAAGTGTTTAGTGGAAGAATATAGTGGCAGGGTGGTTATATGCTTGGTGTATATCCTTGAATTGACATGACTCTTTTTCCTTAAACGTAACCTTTATTCACGCACACCATAACTTTAAACGCAACTGAAATAACGGAAAGAAATAACAAAATCTACTAAACTAAAATTCAAACATCCTATGCTCCAGCTAAGGGCGAAGTGAGCTAGCTCACTGCCGTGCTAGCAGTTTTTACATAAACCACATGATGTGGATTGGCTGCGCACGCAGTCGAACATTAGATTGCCACAAGAATATCTGTGCATTATATCAATACATAGTATAAAGTCACACATTTCCTTAGCTTCTGCCATCGGTGTCTTTGAAAAATTCTTACAGTACTTTGAGTTTCTTAATTCTAAAATAGCATTTTGAAATTTGTTTTACATTCGTTAACGTTAAACACACTAATTTCTCTGGATTGCATTTAGTTGTATATTATTTCAACATGAGGCATCTGATAAAAAAGCTCTAACTAAAACTTGAAATTATCATCATATAGGTTTTTTTAAATTCCTGTTGCTTTTGCAATAATTTGATCTGCATTTGATGTTGATTGAATTTTAGCAAGGCAATTTTTTAAAGGTTGCAAATTTTCATGAACTCTGTTTATGGTCCGTATGATGAAGTTCCATCTTGTGGAGGAATACCACACGTGCGGAGTAAAAAGAAATCACATTTCCAACAACATGGCAGAATTTTGGCACTGCAAGAGTGACAGTGCTCTCCTCACTACCCGGCTCGGGTGCGCGCATGCGCAGAACAGCCAAACACCACGTCGCTGGAACTGTGAAGCACACAGTTCCAAACAAACAATTTCGTACCTTTTTCACAAAGTAGGGGATGGCAACTGACATTAAGCTTAAGGATTATGTATTGTAAAAGTGTAAAGAAAGAATTAAAGGGTACACTATATTAAATATTAAAAATAATAATAAGTGGAAATAGGGGGTGCTGCAGTTCCACAGTGCTTATTATGAGCCGCCACTGCACTGTAGTTACACACAAGGGATCACAGCTTGGAAAAACATCGCCGCTAGTCCTAAAAAAAAACACTTATATTGATGCCGCCTTCATGAAACAGGATGCCGCCCATGGTAGTTGCTCGCCGGAAATCACAGGTTGGAATCTATTGTCGCCGAGCTGTAGAAACAGGATGCCGCCCACGGCAGTCGCTCACATCGTAGCCGCTTTTCAGAATCCAGGAAAAGTCATCTTTTGGACTGGAACCAGGGCACACATCGCAATATCGTCTTCCAATGGGGGCTGGAACGGCACACCGTGGAGCAATGAAACAGGAACCAGAAGGAATAAGCCAGAGTGACGCGAGATACTTATACCTGAAGTAGATGTGACATCATCTCACGGCAACCAATCAGCTATCGGCAAGCAAGACTCAGCTTTCCAGATGACGTAACATCAAGTTTCGTTTTTGCATCTTAATTAGGGTGGAACAGTCCATTCTTAATACAAACAGTGGCAGTGAAAAACGAAGTAGAAATAATTGCTATATCCCTTTAAAATAAGAACTAAACCTTATGTAAAAGTTAGAATTATTTTAAGGAGGAGAGATGATGCAGAAAAATTGTTACAATAGGTCATATTTTCCAACAGTTAGGCCACAAGTAACAGTTTCAAAGCCCAAAAATAGAACAACGGCCTTGTTTAAAATTGCTCACTTGCTGGCGAAGAAGAAAAATCATTTCAAGACTGAGTTACTGAAGGAAGTCTCTCTTGCAGGTGCCAAAAGCCTCTTTGACGGATTCTCTAACAATCATCAATGCGATTCAGGACCTTCAGTTATTAGGCAGCACTGTTTAAAAAAGAATAGAAACAATTGCTGATATGCAATCTCAGCTGAAGAGAGACTTGGAAATGTGAATGGTTTTCTCTCCAATTTGATGAGTCCACGGATATTTCTAACATGTTGCAGTTAGCTGTTATGATAAGAATGGTATTTAACGACTTTTGTGTTAAAGAAGAATTATTAAAAATTTTGCCTTTGAAGATGAGAATGCAAGAACAGGACATTTACAAAGTTTTTAGGACATTTGCGGCAGAAATTGGCTTCCCGCTTAAAAAGCTGCCGGCAATAACCACAGACAGAGCACCTGCCATAACAGGAAGAACCAACAGCTTTGTCACTTTATGCAAGAAAGACGAGTGTTTTCCCACGTTTTTTTTTTTTTTTTTTTCCTTACAGGCTAGCGTTACCTAGTAATGTGATAATATCACCAAGGGATGGCCTGAATATCACCTGGGATGGAAATATTATGTGGTGCACACTTCACTTTCTGAAACTACCTTTTGTGCTGCAGCACCAAAAAAGGTTGAGTACCACTGCATTACAGAATGTCAATATAGCTTTCAGATATTAGAATATAAGACATTAGAATGGTTATTATTAAAATGACATCTACAGAACCCGTTCTGGTTAACATATTTCTTTGAAACTTGGTATGTTTTATGGACCTTAGAGGGAAAAATACCTGTTATTAAAAAAACAGTGATCAAATTTTGAGCATTAGATAATGCTTTTCATGCAATGTAGAAAGAATGTTATACAACTTAGAAACTTCCTCTCTCCTATTAGGGAATTATTTCAAGTTCCAGTGGTTACTGCCATGAAGTCATTCTTTACCAACCACATTGAGTTGTTTTAGTGGAACTGCAATAACACTTCAGTTGCACTACAAGAATACTAACATTTGGAAAGCTTGCAAAAAGGTGCTATGTTGAAAAATGTAAGAGAACAAGAATAGATTTCAAATGAAACTGTGGAAACGATGGCTGACAGAGCATCCTGGTTTCAAGATTCTTCAACATGGGCTTGAATTTGCTGTGTCTGTGACAGAAATTTCTGTGCTCCATTTTAAAGTCGTATCCCTACAAGATCCACATGCAAAGCTGCTATCTCAAAATCTGCATCAGTGCACTGATTTTGCCTGCTATTTTTTTAGCAGGAATAGCAAATAACAATGCATGGCCTTGAAACATTTTGTGGTCAGATGAGGTGCATTTTGCCTTAGAGCTGTGAATAATCAGAGCTACCGTATGTGGGTGCTGCAATGAACATTCTCTGCATTCTGACTATCTTCATGAAAGATGATGCAACACCCCGTATTGGTTGGTAAGGGAAGGAATGTCTTTCTTTGCACTTTGTACATAATGGGTAATTTCAAGAAGTATTCTGAATGCCTGGCTAGACTTAAACCCCTGTAATGTTTGATTGTGTGGATTCCCAAGAAATCATGTCTATAGAGGAAATCTGTGAAGGAAGGTCTGTGTTGCAATTCCTCAAGAAACTCTTCATGCTGCTGTAAGACATGCTATAATGCTCTCTGAACATGTGATTGACACAAATGGAATAGGCATTGGCAAAATGCTGTGATTAAAAGTTTTATGTTTGCAATTTGTAACATGTAACATACATACTAAGTTTCAGTGCAATGTCTGGTAGAGAGCACTCTACATAGATATAAATAAAGTGGTTTTAATTATGACTATTCTCTATATTTCCTGCAGAGGGAAACCTCAGATTTTATGTGCATGTTGTTAATATTTTAATTAAATTGTGTCTTAAAAAGCACAGTTAGTGTCATCTAATTAAAACAATCTTTTACAGTAATGGAAGTTTGTTTTTGGATTATTCAGATTTCCTGTTGTATTTGGGTACACATGTACATTAATTAATGCAAATAATAGATAGTTCAATTAGTTTACAATATTTAAAATATACATTCAAATAGCTGAATCATAAATGTATATATTGCATTTAGAATTGTTTCTTAGCTCAAAACCCCCTAATAAGTGTTCACCTGAAACTAAAATTTATTTTTAAAACTATTTGAAATTCCTTTTAAAGGAAGAAATTTATAATTTTAGCTGGAAGCTCTGATCTATCTACTAGCCAGTCGCGTAGAAGACCATCAGCATCTAATTTAGGAGGCCCGGCAAATAAAAGAAAATGTGGAATATGTAAGGAAAGAGGTAATTGCTTATTTTTGTCTCTAAAATGTTTCTTGTGTTATTTATTTATTTTTAAAAATAATTCCTTCTCTTATTTTAAACATTGGAGAAACTTCTGTCTTTTTATCCTGAATGTCTATGTTAAGTGTTATAAAATGTGTATATCATATACTGTCCAAATTAGTTACAGAAGTTTGCAATAACATAAATTAAAAAAAAAAATTCAAATGTATATAATTTCATGTTTATAGTATTGAATGACTGACTGCATTTATATTATAGCTAGAATCTGATATTTATCCCAACATTCACTGTCTTCTAGTAGAGCCAGGCCTGGACTTAGAGACCCAGGGCCCCTAGGCACTCGACATTTGCCCCGCCCCCAACCATCTTAAAGCTATTTTGGAAATTTAGCAAATTAAATGCTCTAGTACAAAACATATAATTTTTAATCGACTTTAATAAACATCAGAATTCAAAATAATACAGTCTATGTTAACATAGTTACGTTATTCTATAAAATTTGTAGAATAATACGATGAACTATGCTAGACCTTAAGTAATTCTTTACTCTCTTCAGCTCTGAAAACGACCGTTCTGCTAAGTAGTTTGACGCTGGTGTACTTAACAGCATTCGGAATGCAATTCCTAAGTTTGGATAAATGTCCAAAAGCTTCAGTGACGATAACTCCATAACTTCATCATTCAATGACAAATGAGCCTGCAGGTGCAGACACTTGTTTTCCAAATTCCTATCCAAATCCCTCGGATGAAAAGTTATGATGTTTCTGGCTTTTTCATGGACGTATTTAGATTCCAAACGATGTAGTTTCGTAAGAAAGTCAAACTTTGTACTTAACTCGTTATAAGCTGATCTGCATCTTTGTAGTTCTGTAATTAGTCTATCTATAATGACGTTACAAATGGTAACTCTGAATCTATCCCTGCCACACTGCCAGAGAGTTTGGTCTCATTTCCTTTTACTTCATTGAACTGGACTTTACACTTACGTTTCCTCTGCAATAGACTAATTACAGAATTACAAAGATGCAGATCTGCTTATAACGAGTTAAGTAAAAAGTTTGTCTTTCTTACGAAACTACGGTTCTAGGAAAAAAACCCACAGGAAAAAAGACCACAAGAATAATGCTGACAGGTATAAATGCTCACAGAAAAAAGCCCACACAGAAATATGCCCACATAGAAAAATACATGGAAAAATGCTCACCTAGAAATATGCTCACACAGAAAAAAGCTCACATAGATATATGCTCACATGGAAATAAACCCACTGATAGATACAATAAGTAGAAATATCTTTTCATTAATCAATCAATAATCAATCAGTTTGAACATCGTACACCTACTTGAATTTTTTAAGGAAAAATTATTTAACCGTTTGAAAAAATTATTGGACAAATGTTCATATTAACCTTTTCAGGAGCGATATATTAAAGAAGGAAAAGTATAGTAAAATTTTGCATGTACTGTAATATTTTATACCACAGCCCCCTGTACGACATCCCCCCCGTAACTGCCAATAGTTTTTGTTTTTTATTTACTCTATTTTTGCATACTTTTGATGCGTATCTAAAGAAATTGATGTTTGAATGTAGTTATTTAAGTTTGGAGCCAAAAATGTTCTATAAGACCACAGTTTCCAATCGAAGTGTAGAATCATTATGAAGCAGCTTTCGAAAAATCTCCTAAAACATTAAATTATTACGAAAGCTTTCATAAGGTACTAAATTCATTATTTAATTGTAGCCATTTTAGTATGGGGTTTTTGTTTGGCATATTGAAAAAGATTTAGCCTATCAACGTTTATTACTAGCTATTGAAAACTTACATTAAAAAAAAAAAGAGACATTACATTAGAAAGATTAGCATTAAAAAGATTTACATTAAAAAGACATTACTACTTAACATTAAAAAGATTTAGCCTATCAACCTTTATTACTAGCTATTCTAAAAACAGGGTGTTTAAAAAAAAAAAAAGAAAAAGAAAATATGAAAACTTACATTTGGTAATCGCGAATTATGTAAGAAACTGATGAAATCGATGATAAAATTAAATATTTACATCTATTAGCTAATATTCAGTAAGTTTTTAGAGACATTAGGTATTTTGGAAGCAAGAGACGTGAGAAATAAGCAAAGCCTTCGCAGGAAATCGAACGACGGACCTCTGGAATAAGCGCCCAGCGTGCAGACCACCACACCACGAAGACATGCTAAGAACGCCGGAGAAATACCTTATAAATTTATGTGAAATATACATGATTTATATATAACAAAGTATTTTACGTAATTTAAGTAAAATAATTATTTCTATTTCCTTATTCTTCTAAATGTTTATATTATAAAATGTGTAACTTATACTTACTAATATTTTATTTTTTTAACAATTAAAATTGTAGTAATTTTTTTGCTTTTTGCTAATTTTTTTATTACAATTAAAATTGTAATAATTTTTCACTGTATATTCTGTTTGATTTTTCTTCCGTCTTTCTCTCCTTTTCATAATCCAAAACGGTCCATTTGTTAGTCTTATATAGCAACTGAATCTAGACATATGTTATACAGTTTTTTTTCATGTATACACCATAGATGTTTTGGTAATTTAAATAATTATTCTTTGAAAAATTCAAGTAGGTGTACGATGTTCAAATCGATTAATTATTGATTGATTAATGTAAGGATATTTCTTTGTGAATTATTTATCAGTGAGCATATTTCTAAATGAGCATTTTTCCATGTGAGCTTTTTTCTATGTGGGCTTTTTTCCTGTGAGCATTTATACCTGTGATCATTTTTCCTGTGGGTTTTTTTCCTGTGGGCATTTTGCCTGTCACCCATATGCATAGCTATTTTCTCCAGATTTTTCAATAACTTTCGACTTTTCAAAGGTACTGGGTTTCCTTAAGTGTTCTAGGTATGTTACCAAAGACTGATACAGTTCAATGACCATACCCAAGTCAATGTTAACAGATTGGAAAGATTTCCTTACTTTGTTGAACCTTTCCAAGACGTCATTCCAGAGAAGTGACAAAAAGCAAGTGTCCATTGAGTCTAATGAATTCAGAAGACCTGAAGCCTCAGAGCAAGTAGATGGTTTTTTATTTGCGTCATTTGCGATTATCTGACGAGCTGTCGTTATCTCATCCCTGGAGCAACATAGACTTCGGCAGGTGTCAGCTTGAGCAGACCATCTTAACTGAGAAAGGCTCTTCACGACTGTTGACTTCAGTTTTAACAGCAAAATTTCCCATCTATGTGTTGATGCCGAAAAAAAAAAATATACAATGACTGCAAAATACCGAAGAAAGATACAGCTGCTTACAAGACTCGGCCGCACAGGATCCAACAAGATTCAGTGAGTGAGCCGAACAGGGAACGAAATCTATCAGATATAGGATCTAGATATAGGATAGATCTATATCTATAGGTTTTTGCCTGTTGTCTTATAAATTAGCTCTTTTATTAATGTAGATTACTCTCCGAAAGTGGTTTATGGGCTTTATTTCTTTATCCCTTTGACACGTGCAATATTATTTTTATAATTTTTTTAACTAAATCTCTAGAAATTGAATATTATGATCCTAGAGACAAATAACATATGAATTTTTTTTTAAAAAATCTGTTCTTGCCCATTGTTCTGTGGGTGGTGGTCACATTGTGAAACCACCGCACGTTTAGGACTTTGAAATTTATTGAGGTAGTAGGAAAAAAAAAACTTACCTTTCTCTGTGCACATTTCCAATAAATGATGAAATTTATTAATTTAAAAAAATGTATGTAAGACTTGCATTATATATAATTTTTTACATTATTTGACAAAGTAAATTGTCAGAAAAAAATTAAAAAATAATCATTTATGTAATTTTTCTATAGCAGTGAAAATATAAGTACCTACATAATAAGAACGTTTGGCTAAATGGATTAAAAAAAACTCAGTAAAATAAAGATAAAAAAAGACTCAGTGTTTTTTAATTTCAAAGAACAAATGTTTTTTGTGACACTGTTCAAAATATGTTTTGTCTTTTTGGTACATGCATAGACCCACATTGCACATTTCGCACATGTATCTTCTATGGGGTTTCTTCCTTGTGCCACAAAATGTACACTGCCTGGATCTAAATTTCACTGGTATATGTCCAGCGTTATTTAGTTTCTTTTCATCCGGAACATGAAATTTGTATTTTTTTATGTTAATGTGGGGGGGGGGGAGCTTGGCCCTTTTTGGCTTTGGTACGGATCATTCGTTTCCCATTCATACTTACTTTATTCATATTTCGTTCCAAAATATTCAGAAAATATTTTTAATTTAAATAAAACTTTAGGCGATTTCTATTTTTAATTATAGCAAAGTATATTTACATTAAATTTAAACCACAGGAAATAATTTATATAATCACAATTCTAATTTGGGTAGCAAGTGTGTTGAGGTCAGAGAAAAGTCTCTGGAAAAGAAAGCCCTTTTTACTGGGCAGGTGCGTGTATTGTTTAGTAATAAAATAACTCTGTGGTTTCAAAACCCCTTATCTATATCTGGGTAAAAATAAACATTCCTATTTGAGAAGCAAGCAAACGCCATTGTGAAGAGCAGTGGTTTCAAAGCGCAATCACCGAGCCTCTAGAGCATTGTGACACAATGCTCTAGAGGCGCAGTGGTCGCGCACTAAAACCATAAAGCAAATGCCATACATATAGAGGGGTTTATTTTATAAATGCAGTTTAATTATTGCTATATTTTATTGTTTATGATAAAAGTCATGATGTGCGATGAATAACTTTTGAAATTTAAAGTTGTTTATATTAATAAAAGGAAGTTATTTTGTCTCATTGAAAACGAATTTTAAAAGGCATCCTATTTGAAGTACTAAGACCTAAAAAATGTATGATTCTGCAGTCATTTTGTGTTATTTAGAGGTAAAAGATCAGTAATCAATTGGTTTTCACTCAAAAATTTCGGAAAGAAGAGGAGAAAAAAAATTCGAAAATTGGTGGTTTCAGGGCGC